TATCTATATTGGTGTCAATGAACTGGTTGAAAGCATACCTCGCAGGACGAAATTCTGCGAGGCTTTCGATGTCTACGAACTTACCATTGCTAGCATATGATTCCCAGTAGTACTGGGACTCGTCCTTGCGGGCCTCCTTGTCGACCGAACGGTCCCGACGGCTCCTGTTTGGAACATCTTCTCCCCAACGCTGATCCAACGTTTGTTCGACGGCCAAGCGGTAGCTGGCGAACTGTGCCTTGACTTTCTCCAGATCGTCCTCAAGTTGAGCTTCTCGGCTTGACTTCGACTGCAATTCCTCTTGAAGAACACTTTGAAAATCAGAGCCAATGTCTAGCTCAGTTAGTGCCATGATCAGAGCGTCATCCTCGATGACGGGCTTGAAGAAGCGATCATCAGAGATGTGCTCGGCAGAAATAATTTCGGGCAGACGAGCACCATCGTGAGTGCTTTGGCGGACTGCGGCGGCGATGTCAGTTTAGGAAGACGCCACCGATGTCCACGAGGTGAGCGCTGTGAACGTAGTTGTCTAGAAACTCACCGAAGTTGACGAGCCTTACGGTGCCGAGGAAGTCGAGGCCGAGCCGATGACGGACTTCAAGGAAATCGAAGTTGTGCTTTTCGCGGCAATGCTGCAACATGGAATCGAGACTGGGAAAAACGGAGTCGTCCAGCAAAGAGATGAAGTCCACGGTGTCTTCCTCCTCAGGCTCGGCATCTTCCCAGTCAGACTCATCCGATGAAATGTCCGACTCGGGAAGATCCTTCTTGTCGAGCTTGTCATTCGCCATGGTGAAAGCCAAGCAGGGTAGTTTGCTTGGGTGTGTTTTAAATATACGTCCTCAGTCCTGGTTGTCGAATTTTGTCTTCGGTCGATGATCGTTGCAAAGTGAACAATGATCGAGTTGAAAGTGACTGGTGAATATTTTCCGTCGTCCACGCCGAATGTGTGGGCCTCATTGGGGCAGGCTTGGATGGGCCTGCCTACGGATGCCAATGCGGTAACAGGGAAGCTGCAGCCAACGTGCCACCGTGCCTACCATGCGTAGGAGTTGGAGTCACTTTTTGTGCGCTGGTCCCGTCAAACTGGACCTACCTATCCAGCCACCGGCTGCCGTTTGGTTGTCCCGTTCCGGTCCGGTCCCGTTCAGTCCAGTTTAACGCCGGTTGTTCTTCGGGCGCAAGCTTGCAAAATTCCATGCCAGCCAGGCACATGAAATACGAAGGTAGGTGAGTCGTGACAGGGCGACCCTAATAATTTCAACTAGGTACCCTGCCCAAGTAATTATTAGCTAGGTACACGATAAACATATCCCAATAAATTGCCTTCCCAACTTTATGTAGGCTTCCTTTTGTTTCAGCCTGGAACGGGAGTGCCATTCAAATCTAACGCACCTGCCCTTGCCTCTTCTTCAAACCCCTCGCCTCATGTCCGCCTCTACTGTCGTCTCCTCCTCCACTTGACCCGAACCACACCGAAGACCTACCTACCTAGTAATGCGGTACACTAAGGCTCTGCAGCACAAGATTGACGATGCTCAGGAAGCCCTCTCCTAGAATGAAGCCCTGCAGTAAGCACACAACGTCAGCCGACAATCAAAACCACCACACTGCGCACGACTAATACGCACTGACGCAAGCACAATCAATGGTGTGCTGGACTGCCCTCGCCGCGAAATCCAATACCAGCTGAGCAAGCCGCCGACCGTCCGTGCCAGTGTGAAGGATGGAACGTTGTACATTCCTGTGCATCTGTCAGAATCCATTTTCGCCTCTACGTTCTTTTCAATCAACCCCTGGATAAACTTACCCACAGCCACTGCGATTCCGCCCGGTATAAAAGACCGCCATACTTTGCCAGTCGCCGTTGTCCTTATCATAGTCGTGATAGCAAAAATAACGGCAAAGGCAAATGCCCATTCCCTGGCATTCGGTGGCAGACCTTTCCCGGTAACGAGTCTGGCGGTGAAGATCCAGACGTAGCCCGTCGGGACCTGGAACAGATCACCAGGAATTGCATAGACCCTGTACCAGTCAATTATTAGCCTTCCATGTCTGCCGAGACGGTGTAGAAAGGGGGCCAAGGAATATAGACACACTCACGCCGCGTATAATTGGTAGACAAGAGCGCTCACGACAGCACCAGCCGTTGCGCCAATAACCTGCCCCCAAAACTGAGCATTAGGTGCGGCACCGAGAAGATGGCCTGTCTTTAAGTCCTGCATGAGGTCCCCGGCTTGTAGAGCACCCTGGAAATCGAGTTAGATGTACACTTAGAGATGTTAGGGTTGCGTTTCAACCACACTCGACATACTGCTTCGGACTGCGTGAGCATCATGGTTAGCGTTGCTTTACTTCATCTCGATGGCATACTTACCACTGCACCCGCCACAAGGTTGATCAATACACTAGACTTATGCGACTGTGGTATTATAAGGGCAAAGAACAACTGCGCCAATTTACTGATTCCCGACACAGGATTTAAGTCCGTCTCACCCAGTGCTCTCACGCCCATAATGCTGAGCAGAAGGGCCATGAGAACAGCAACAATGGTTGCATAAAGCGGGACAAGATCGCCAAAGACAATATGGATCGTCATGATGCAAAGAAGAACAGATAGAACAAGCCCCACTGAGACCAGACGATTGCTAATCTGTTGCTCAGGTGGTGCGTCTGCATCGTCTTCCTCCGTATAGTTGTCAGGCAAAACCGAAGCTCTGCGACGCACAATCGTGTTTGGTCCTTGGTCAGGCAGAAGACGCGACGTGCTGGTTGCTTCTGTCTCCTCTTCGGTTCTCAAAGCCGAGTAACCTTGCCTAGATTGGTCCTGGGACCGGACAAGCTTCCGCCAGATGCGCAATACTCGTTGCGAAAACGTATTGCCAGTCAAAATACTCAACCGATGCCAGAGTGGCCGAAAGGCAATATGACCAAGGCTCACGATGGCATCAGCAAGCATAATAGCCAACGAGACCCATACGATCCAGCCTTTACTTCCAGTCTCCCAGTCATCAATCGAGCCAGGTGCCCATCCATTGTATTTGGCCAGAGGTGAAAGAATACCCCACCCCACTGCTGCACCCAGAAGCATATGCAGGGTGGTCTCGGGTCCCATAATGATTCCTTGCCCTATGTAAGCAGGGCTCGGATTCAGTGTCCACAGCCAGATGCTGGCGGCTTCGGTCCCAAAGACGGGAATATTGCGCAGGCTGGGTAGGAAGTAAGAGCAAAGCGTATAGAGACCCGAGACTCCGAAGCAAATCAGCAGCAACCTCATGTTCCCGGCCCAGTCCTGATGAACATCAGGTTCCGACCCTGCGATGCGGCCATGTTCGGCATCTGCGCCTGTAGCGGTGCGACTGTTGTCCATGACAGTCGCCTCGTCAGGGTCCGGCACTAGACTCGCGAACCCACCAGCTACAGTGTCTTCCGACCCGCCTGAATTTGAGATACGTGTCTGTCCGTGTAGCACGCCAATGAGCACGGCTGTGCTGAAGCCACTCGGAAAGCGCAGCCTTTCGCGTATGATGACCTGCCGACGTCTAACGAGTGTTAAAAAGAAAGCGAGTACAACCCGAAGGTGGAAGGAATCATTGGGGCTGTCTCACAGAGGAACGGCGAAAACGACACCGAAGTAACATAGACCTAGGGACCATAGGATCAACTTCCATAAGCTGATATGGAGTGGCCCTTGCTCATCGGTCGTGAGAAGGTAGTTCATAGCGGGGATCTGCATTCATGTTCAGCCGTGTCTACTTGTGTTAAACCATTGCAATAGATGACTTGACCTATTGCAAGATGGCGAAAGCTTTCCTTTGCTTATGATGACGGGAAGACATACAACACCGACGAAGCCACATCCGAGAGGCATAATGGCCATACTCCCTGCAACAGTCTGAACGAGGACGTTCTCGACAGGGCTAAATGGAAACTTTAAGTGACGCGCGAGCGCCTTGAAAATGCCAAACCCCATCAGGCTGGCGGGCATGGTCATGGTGCTCACCCAGCCCGTCTGCAATCCAAAGTACATATTTGAGAAGCAGATGACCAGGCCGACGAGCAGACCGACCACAACGCCGCGGATCGTAAAACTGCGGCCCTGTATGGTCGGACTTTGCTTGGAAGAGTCTCCGCCGCTGTTGCCGCCAGCGGGTGTCGCGTCAACAGCAAGTTGGCCATCGTGATAACCCCGATTTGGAGCCATGGTAGCCGTCAGTCTTCCTTGGTGGATAGAGAGACAGCCTATGGTGCGGAGAACTGATGGGAGCTGATGAAAACCACGTAAGTGCCTCGGTACGAGGGTATCGTCGACGTGGCTGAAGGGTATGATGATGGCGATGTCAATTTGCTAACCAACCCGGCGTCTGAAGCGCTCCCTCAGCGGCGAAATCATGCATGAGGTGGTGGCAGGTTGCTTGCAAACGGCGACTACGGAAGAGCCAGAGGAAGGGGTAATGAAGTCCAAAGCGGGCAGATATGACTCCGTACTGTTCTGTGGTGAAGTCAATCAAGTAAGATAAAGTACGGTCGCAACCCTTGCCCGTGCAGGAGAGATCCTCGAAACGGCATGGGTAATCCGGATTCGTATCCGCAATGGATCGCTTATCTTTTGATCCAAACCCCCAAGTTTGTCCGTGCTTGGTCAGAATTGAAGCACGTCGCGGCGTGTTGAAGGCCCATCCTTACATTAAGATTATGCCTGCCCACCACGCTAGTCCGGCCCGGAACTCGGTAAAGTGACGTGCGGGCTCTTGCTGTGTGGCTTAGTAATCTTCATGATTGGTCCCTCGTCTACCAAGTAAGTGATCGGAGTTGGTCAAGGTTGCTTTAACGACAGCCTGACACGGCATGCGTTCGTTTCTAATATTGCACGCGTTGTAGATGCTAAAACGATGAATCTACAACTCGATTTTCGCTATGTGAATGCCTCGCCCTCCTGGTTCATGGAGCCCGGTGGATCCCCCCTTTATACCACGTGGCCCGTGTTCGCACGCCGACAATTAGAAACCGAAGCTATCAAGCAGTGAGCTTGAGTCCGGCTCTTGGAAGACTGTTGGCGCTGAATCCTTGCTCCTGTTCACGCCAGATCTCATCTCCACATGAAGAGTCGACATTGGGAGATCTGCAACGACCAATGAACTACGGCGACGCAATAGCTTCAGCGGATTGATTTCGCCGCCCAACCCGTTCGTTTTGCTTATGGCGGATTTCAAGAACTCCCAATTACGGACTGCCATTTTGTTAGTTTCTCGTATCCGCATGTCAATGTTGCATTCAATCATACCGAGATCTAGGCCGAGTAGGTCGCAGCCCATTCGGTCGTAAAGCTTCGCACTATGTAGCACAAACTCCCATTCTACGCGAGGAGTGACCTTGGAGGCCCCGCGAAGCGTCTGCAGCGTCTTTTGTCGTAGCTGGGCATACAAAACCACTAGAGCCGGGTCGTCTGTGAGGAACAACTTCGATTGCATGTCAGGGGTACATGGTGTTTCGATCAAGGTATAAACGGGTGACTGTGCCAAGGATCCAGACGTGGTTAGTAATCGATCAGACACGCCGGGGCTAGCTGTTGGGAGGAAGCAATAACTCACAATCAAGGCCCTTACAGCCATGTCTTTGCGATTTAACATCCAGAAAGTCCAAGAGGCGAGCCAACGATTGCCTTCCCTGGCCGCCAGAGCAAGCACCTCTTCTTCCAATAGCTTTCTTAGAACCGGTCCCTGATCTCCTTCGTAAACCCTTGCAATGGCAACTGCACGCTGGAGATCCCGCAACTGATTAAGACAAACATTGACGGCGTCCTGAAGATGATCCGCCAGGAGGAAAAATGCGGCCGCGTACTCTGTTGGGCCAAACGTCAGCAAGTCGTGAGCGGCTGCAAATGTGCACACGCAAGTACTCACCGAACCGACGCTTGCTGAGCAGGGCATAAGCGTTCTTGAGGGCTTTTGTTCGCCACACTGGATCATCAAAATTATTCGCGAGGAAGCGCTGAGTCGTAGCCTGTTCACGATTTCCGTATGCCATGCGCCACAGACCCTGGAGCACCGTTTTCTTCTTTAAAGCCAAGTAATACAGACTGCAATCGACCGGGTTTTTCGCGTCACTTTTGGTGTATTCGTTTCGAGCAACATTTTCAAACTGCGCTCGCTGTAACTCAATCAGCTTCGGGGGTGGTCACGCATCACCTGATTAGTGTTCTTACCAACGCATTGCGGTCACCCAGCCACATGAACATGCCGCTTTCTTTCGCGTCTTCCCAGCGAATGCCGCTGTGACACTGTTTCGTGACAAAGTCAACAAGAATGTCCTGGCTCGTGGAATGATAGGCCCAGTTGATCTCTCTCCAGGACATCTGGATTTCGCTCGTCCGCCCTTTCCGTAGGGCATGTTGGCGGAAGAAGAGCATAAAGCGAGCGCCATTTTCATCCAAAGATCTACGTTGTTTCTCGACGAGCCCGGCACACTCGACAATATCTGCCAATTGGATCTGCTCATGCCCAGAGAGCTGTTCAATATCGACCTTGGTCAACCGCTCGTTGATTGCATAAGCAACGTCTTCAGTGAAGTTTTCGTCCTCTTCATCCGCAGTTGCCTGGTAATCAAAGTGAGAACTAATTTGCGATCCGGACGCATGCATTGCTGATGCCTGCCATTTTCTTCAGTCAGCACTCAATGAGATGCCTTTTGGCTAAAGGAAGGTTGGTACCTCGTCCTGGTAAAACTCAGATGGATCGAGTCCAAGGTAGTCGTCGATGGGTTCATCTGCGACGTGAAACTTGAGTGTCTTGTACAAAGACACAAGCACTTTTCGCACCGCTATACTCTTTCCTGCAAGAATGCTCTGACTCAGAAACTGTGGGTGGAAGATTGGCAGTGGACCATTAAATCGTTGAACAGCTTCAAATAAATCCCATACGCCATTCTTTCTATGGGGAAGCTGTAAGCTCTTTACCAACGAGCCAGAAAGATCATATTCTCTTCCGTGAACAAACATCTGGTTGCCAGAACCGATAACAAGATGCCCATCACCAAGCCAGGTCGAATCGCCTATGGGATGGGGAGTGAGCTCTCGAATGCTGATCTCTCGCACAGCAGCCCACGCCGGTCCTTTATTGAGATAGTCAAAACGCATCTGACATAATAGAACAACCTTGGACTGGAAGCCCACCGCCAGTATTGACTGTGAGTCTGGAGTGGATGTCCAGTCAAGGTCCTGAATTATGTTGTTAGTTCCGTAGTTTTGTGTGAATTCGAGTCGAGCAGCTCCGATGTCCCAAATGGATAGCTGGGACCTGGTTGAATCGACAAGTGCCGCTTTCTTGAGTGTACTGCCGCTCACCAATGCTGGCTCCGAAAGTCCCGTTTCGGCTGAACACGTTGAAAGCCATCCAACCCTGTCCTCTGTATAGTCGACACGGGCTGTCCAGAAATCAACCCGCCCAGAATGCGTGTACGAAATAGCAATATCCTTAGCAAAGACGTCAAGAAAGCCGGATGTAACAGGTGCAGAGCCTGCCGGGTCAACAGGCAAAACGTAGGCAAGACCTTCGATATTGTCAAGTTGAAACCTGCAGTACTCCTGTATCGAACCTTCATCGCGCCCGTTGACACAAGTTTCGGACCCTCGGCGTGAATACTGCGGGAGATTGACCTTCCAAACGAGACCCTGCTGTTCCGAGGTGACAGTTGCAATATGGGCTACTGCGTACTCCTCGTGTGGCTGCCTAGGCAGTATCACCAAACACAGAGGCTTGCCAGCAATCTCATAGGACTGACGTGCCAACAACATGGCCTTTGGCAACCGGCAATCCCAGAGATATATGGTGTTATGCTCCAGAAAAATGACAAAGCGGCCTTTTCGGAGAACACATATGCGGTGAATATGTCCACTACCTGGAATGACACTCTGTCGCGATAATCCTGATTTGGTGTTGCCGTTATGAGTCCAGACGATGCTTTCGCCTTCCGCTGTCCTGGAAACCACTGCTCGCCCGCTAAAATTTCGGACCATCTTCTTGATAGGAGCCGAGTGCCCAGACCACATACATTGCCGAGAAAGGCAATTCTGGTCGGCGGCCGGGCTGAGGAAGTCCACCAAGTCAGATTCATAAACATGTATTTGGCCCTCAAAGTCGTGAAACAAGATACGTAGTCGCCCAGTCCGCCGGTCACAATAACTTTGTACCACAACGTGCTGGCTGCACATAAATTCGAGGTCTTGCGGCTTGAATCGAGACAAGTTCGCGGCCGTGGACTTGCTGGATTTAGACCCTACGTCTTCTACAACAAAGACAGCCGTTTCCCCAGCACCGTTGAAGGCGACACATAGCTCAGGGCTCTTATTTGCAAGGGAAATCAGGTGCTCAAGAGCGTTATCTTGTTCTCCGTGCTGAATCGGGCGGCGTTGTACAGCTAGCTCCGTAGCAGCGGATACGTCCCTGCCGTCGATGATGAAGGCCAGAAATGTTGTAGGGGGGCTCACGGTCCTGAGACTCTGCTCCCGGAATGCCGAAGGCAGATCAATGGTCCCCCACAGATTCAGTTGCTGGGGGGCATGGGGGTCGGACCCCGTCCAAATGCGAATCTTGTTGTCGACACATGCAGTATAAAGCACATTTTGGACAGCTTGTTCGATATGATAAGGTTTTCGCCATCGGATACTTGTCACAATATCTGGGTGTCGCAGGTAAGCCAAGTCGAAGCGCACGTCTTCAGCGCCGTACGTGAGACGGCGCCACACCTTGACGAGGCGGTCATGAAAGCCAACCGAGGCGATGTACGCCGAATCGTAGGATATTTCTGCAAGCTTGGAGGGGCTCGGAAGGGTTTTCGTCCATATGCTGTTTGGCTCGTCGGCCGTCGAATACATGCAAAGGGCAGAATGAGCTACGAGGAGCTCTTCGGATGTGCCCCAGCTCAAAATGGTATTGTCGATAGCATCTCGAAGGTCGGGTATAAGGAACGAAGACTGGAGTCCCCACTATCGCAGACACATAGAATTAGCGATGAGCCGCTTCAAACTACAGAGCACAGTCTGCAGAGCCAGAGCAAGCTAGTCCAGGGCTGGATCGGAGAACTACCTTTAAAGCGTCCTCTGATTGTCCAAATGGCTTGTAAACTCTGATGACGGAATCGGTGCAAGTTGCGATCTTTCCAGACCACTCGTCGAATGCAACGGCTTGCAGATGAGCTGGGTCTTCGTCGTAGACGGTTTGGACAATGGTGCCTGGATCGCACAGGATGGTGAACGCGCTGCCCGTGATGTAGACCTACAGGGACGCATATCAGCGAAATAGGAGTAAGCGAGGGCGCCAATGGCTCACGTTGAAGTGCCTCGAGTCCCAGAAGCCCGTCGCAAGAGCGTAGAGCCCAGATTTGGGCCTGCCTGGGAGGACTGCTCTCATCCTACTAGCCCGAGACTCGCAGCAGCATTGCTCGGGTTAGCAGATCGCGGTCGTTGCCCGTCGCCGACGGAAACTTGGTCGGCAAGGCGCAGAGAAATGTTGGGGCGGGCGATGGCAGAGGTCGTAGATGAAAGACACTGGATACGGCGCGTTTTGAATGGGTTCTGAGACGCGTAAGGTTCATGCAAAGAAGGACAGGATAGTCTTTTAGGAGCTCTGTCGGGAACAAATGAGATAGCGATCTTTAGAGGGCACGGAGGGGTACGACCTCGAATAGGTCGGCACCAAGGTAAGGCAAAGTGAGGGAAGGCAGGTGTATGCGTACACTGCATACGGGTTGAATAACACGATAGAGTAAACTATACAGAATAGGGAACAAAACAAAAGAGGGAAGGCAAGGCAGGGAGAGGCAAGGTACGTAGCTATATCTGGTGACGGGTCTCGGGGAAGCTTGCAGCGATAAGATAACGTTGGAGAATGACGCCAGCTTGCAGAATGACCATCTGAGCCACGGTTGGCCAATGCCTGTCAACGAGGGCAAGTGCTTTTGTCGCGGATTTTCCAGAGTCGGGAAGTATGCGTTTCAACTTGCCTCCTATTCCCCCTTCTATTATTATTCTTTTTCGACGGCCTGCCGTGACATGCAATGTCGATATTTGCGCGTCCCAGGTGGTACAATGCACGTTAGCCCAGATCATACCGTCTTTACTCAAATCAGTCGGGTATACTAGTTAACATTTTTCCAAGACAACACACGACGTCAATATCCACCAGAAGCCATATTACGTAGCCTGAGTTCCAACCCTCTTTAATCTACTTGACCCAGCGCCCCAGGCCGACCGCCATTTGCCCGTCGCATACTCATGTCGGCTGTGGAAAGCCTCTGGGCCTGTGCGAAAGAGAGCCTGCTCAACTGACTAGCCTGGGCTGGTGGCACACTCCTGTTGTACCGCTCTCGAAGCTCACGTTCGAACGGCGTTGGCAAAGGAGCAAATGGTGTCATGGATGGTAACTGCACCGAGGATGCCATCCCTGTCCAACGTGTTGGTGTGCTCACAACGACTCCGTCCGCGTCGGCTCCTGAACCTCCCCCATCTTGATCCTCCTCCTCTTCAACCGTAGGGCCCATTTCTTGGCGTTTCGAGGCTCTGAACAGCCCTGTCCCCGGCCGCTCGTGTACTGTCCTTGATAGCTGGAAAGACTGGCGACTCATGCCGAGTCCAGTGCCCTTCCGTGAGCTCCCAAGGCTTGCTCTCATCGCGCTCAAATGTTGTGACCTGGTTATGTCTTCATCTCCTTTCCAATGGTGAAGAAGACGACGAACGAGCTGCTTCTTATTCCTTTCTCTGACATCTGTGGCAACATATTCCCTGCTCTTTAGTTGAAGTACCGTAGACTGCCACTGACCCCAGTATCGCATTTTTAAGGTCTCCTGCCAGACTTCCTTCGAGCGACCGTGCACGCTTGCATGGTCTTGCGAAATGATATGCCACTCGCCGAGCCATGCGGCTGTAAGGAGCCTGGAAGCACCCCGATCGCGGCTGCTGTCCTGATACCAAACGTCCAAGAAACCAACAGCACGATCCCGCTTCTCCATGCTGTGGTGCTTAGTCGCTTCCCAGCCAAGGTTGCGATGCACTCGAGCCAATGACTTCCAGCGACTCAGATTTTCCTTCGTTGAGGTGGCCTTAACATGTTGCCTGTATCGTGCGTAAGACCTTCGCGTTTGAGATCTCCAGGCCCCCTTTGAGCGCCAGGTTTTCACCACTGCGTTGACGCTGGCGAAAAAATAACCACGCTGGGTCCATGTACAGAGATTTGAGCTATGCAGAATGCCAGCTTGCCAGGTATCGACCACGTGTCGTGCCGCTTGACGTTTAGCAGAGGTTCGCGATCTCTTACTAAACCGAACCATGTCCAATGCTTGCCGATGCCAGATGTCTAAAACTTTTGTCTTGAGCAATCTATGAGAATTGGCCAGAGGGGAATGCATGCCATGGGGTGTCTGTGGCAGCTTAGGATCGGCTTGGTCCTTGTTATGCCTTCTGTGGCCGCTATACCCAGGTGCGACTCGGTGTGGCGGTAGTCGACATGCGTTGTGCCATCTGCATATGGTATCGCGTACCAGATTGAACCCCATCTTTGCACGAAAGATCTCGACCCTTGTCTCTAGTTGCCAATGGTCTAAGGAGTTCCGAACGACACTGAGGCGCCGATGAGTTGCTACGCCGTCTTGGTGACATCGCACCTGTTGGTGCCAGGAATTGAAGGCAAGAGACCACCGAATTCTGGTCCTGTGTTCTTCTGTGTGTGCAGAAATCACGCGCAACGCTGAGCAAGACAATCCCCATTGCTGGAGACAGAGAGCCTGTAATTGGGGCCGAACCAACAACCTCGTGACCGTTGAACATGAACTAGACCAGGCGGCCAGAATTCTTTCAGCTATGCGGCGTGCAGATAGTGTCACAGCCCGCTGCTCCATGACAACGCCGTCGTCAGCCCACCTCACCCAAAGAGTCAGCAAGCGGGAAGTAAAGATACGACGCCCCTTGAGCTTGGCGTCTGCTGTCACCAACTCCCAGGGGTCAAAGTGGCGCATGCGCAAAATATGCCGTCTGGCTACGGCGGTTCTTTCACGCTTCTCGGTTGCGTAGGTCTCCCAATGTGATATTCCTCTGAGAATCTGCAGGTAACGAGCCGCTCGAGCCGCTCGTTTTTCCAGCCAGGCGTATCGTGCTTCCATCGCTAGGTCATCTTCCAATCCCTCATCGGGAGGTGTGGCTTGCCTAGTAAGTAGGACGTTGTCACCAGAAGGTTCCTTTTGTGGAACTGGCGCTACTTCCTGCTGCTGCTGTTGCAGTACTTGATGTCGTTCGATGTTAGACGACTCCTGCCCAAGAACCTTTGTGTCAATGCTGGGCCGCTTGCTGGTCTCGTGCTGGACGACTGTCGAAATATTTGGCTGACGACCGCTGACCTCATTTCTGGGGGTTTCGTCAATGTACACCAGCTGTCGCCGTTGCGGTTGCTGCTGCTGTTGTTTTTGTTGTTGTTGTTGTCGTTGTTGTTGCTGCTGTTGCTGTTGCTGTTGCTGTTGTTGCTGCTGCGGGTTTTGAGGCGCATTGGATTGCTGGGGTAGAGCGTAATGTTGGGACTGTTGATGTTGGAGGTTATGTATGTCGTTCTGGGCTACAGATTGTTGCTGGTGTAGATTGCCCTGCTGGGGCAAGTATTGCTGGGGCTGCTCGTGTTGAGGGTACTGGCCATGAGACATGGTTTGGCCAGGAGAGAATTGTGGCTGGTCTTTTCTTAGTGGACGCTGTTCGCCTTGCGCTGGAAATGGTTCGTAATGGATGTTTTGCTCCGCCCGTAAAGTTTCGTGCCCATCAACAATAGGCCTGGCTCCAACGTCCTCTGGCAGAAGCCAATTGACTGTCCTAACAGACTTGGGTCGGACAGGACGGGAAGCAGCGATGCTGACGTTCTTTCCCGCATCGTGGGCAACAGTCTCAACGGGTTGAATAGTGGTGTCGCTAGCTCCACGGTGCTCATTGGAGCCAGTCACTGACCGTGGGCTCTGGTGACTCGGCTCCGTACCCGCAGCTGTGGATGGCGAGTGACTTTGGGATGAGTGCTTTAAGCGTTCGGAGAGATCAGGGGCCAGGTGATTTGGCCTTGGAAGTATGGGCATCAGCCTTTGGAGGTTTGCACAGTCGCCGTTACGGATTGCCTCGTCTGGGGCAGTGATCGGCCTGAAGCGCCCCTGCTGTGATGGCTGTATATGCTCCGAAGAGCTATCGTCCGTGGTAGCAAAGTTATGTTCGCTATTGGAGTGAGGAGGTGACGGTTGCAACGGGAATCCATGGTCTCGTTCATCGCCTGGGTCTGAAAGCGGTCTCGAACCTTCGCTGCGACTGTCGAACTCCAGCTCAATACCCATCCTCGCCAAAACATTGCGAAGTTTATCCAAAAGTGAACCGTCGCCGCGCTCGCCGCCGACTCGGAAGACCAAGCGCGAGATGTGATGGTCCTCCTCGGGGTCGATACCGTATTTTGGGAGAACGGCGTCGTATGCCTGAAACAGAGCGTTCGTCGCCAACCTCTCACCCTCGGGGAGGAGATCGAGATTATCCTGGGCAGCCGTGACGACATCGTGGAGGATGGCAATTTCTGATTTTGCGTCAGTCGCAAAGCCATTCGATGGCTCTCATTTAGTCTATAGAGGCTGTGAATGTGGAAGGAAGTCCCGGTTTTCCTCACCTTCGTTACTATAGTAAGAGTCGGAGCTTTGAATTGACGCAAAGCTGGATATGCCGTCACGGGGAGCCAGCGCTGGGCGATGTGGCAGTGACGGCATGTGAATTGATGCCGTTCCGGTAGCATAATAAGATGGCAGGAGTGGCGACAGTAGCGGCAGCGGTGGGAGAGCAGGAGGAGTTGTTGCTTGTGATTGTGCGGGCGTGCTTGGTGTTGATGGGTACGATTCCGGTCGCGATCGCAATCGTCGCGGGCTGTCGAAAACCGGGGGTATCGTCAAATTTCATGGGCAAAAGGCGAAGGACCGCGTGCAATGAACACCGAATACATTTGGCCGCAGCGATATCCACGGAGGAAGAAACGAGGAGTATCGAAAGAGCTCGACCGACTTCCGTGGGCGAAGGAGGATAATGTACGGCGGCGAACGCAGCGCGTCGCGAAAAGTTGCAAATACAATGGCCAGGTACAATGGTAAAGTAAAGCCTGACTGACAGCTTTGTCTTTCGCGCGCGTCGGCGGTAAAGGCGGCACTAGCGAAGCTCGGACAAAACGCAAGGTATCCCTGGACACTATAAGCGACGTGCTGTCCTAAAGTGAATAACGTCTGGGAGGGACTCTGGGAGGACAGAGGGAAAAGAAGATCAGGGAAGAGGTTGAACTGCCCAACCTCCCGTCTTTCCTCCGCTTCTTGTGTGTTGATTTCGAGGACCACGCCCAGCAACCGCAGTCTTATGGTGTGCCTTAGACAGCAACGGTTGCATGGTACAATACCACTCAACCTACCTTAGGTACCTACCTTAGGTCTGGGTCCGTGCTATGGGGCCCTCTCGGAGTGTAAGTACCTGGGAACCTAGGCACTCTACCTACCTCAAGTAGGTAAGGTCAATGTAGACCGTAAGGTATTGTACGTACAAGGTAAGGTAGGTGGTGTAGCATCGACCGGGCTGCAAACCAATGAGGTCGCTTTGGATTTGTTACCCAGTTTTTTTAGTGTTCTAGAAAGAGAAAATACTTGACGGCTTCGTACCTAATTGGCCATTTTGTTGGCTTCCCTCGCTGCCTTAGCTAATCAAAGACTGCCTAAGGTACCTATTCGTAATCAGTTGTTGAGGTTGACTTAGTGAAGTTCCTCTTCCAAAGCTTTTCGCAGCCTTTTCTTTCCTCTAACTTGCACACCTGCACCTGCACCTGGAAATTGAACATTCCTTCTGCGAATCCACGTCGCGCCAAGGCACTATCACTATGACTCGTCCGCGGCCCATCCAGAAGTTTGCTTCTGCCGTATCGCAATGCTCTGCCGAGGTCGGTTCCCCGCTCCATCGTAGACAGCCCACATCTCTACTTACCTCATCCCTAAATAAAGCCTTGATGCTGACGTGAGCAGACCACGCTGTACGGCAAATGCATTGTCGCCGACTACAATTCCGTGCATAAGGACAAGTGTGTCAAGGAATTCCTCAGATTGAAAGACTGTTATATTGTACATCGCTACCAACCCACAGCTAGTTACGGTGGCTCAAATCACATCACTAACACATGCCGAGTTGCAGGCTGCGGCTCGGACAGCTAGATAGTCATCGGCACTGCCCTTACGAATGTAATATTCTGTAAAAGTCTCAATTTGATGTTGCACCTTTCTATTCTGGTCTTATAAGGCCAAGGCGCTTGTTTGCCTGCGCATGTGTACTCCGCCCAGCGCTTTTTACCCCATGGCTATCTCCACGCCTTCAGCCATCGCAACTTCACAACTCAAGCAAGCGGAGCAGGAAGGTCGCATGCTGCACCTCCTGCTCCTCCTCCGCAATAACTCCTTTTCGCCCCACGCCAGAGGTCTCACCCTCCACCTGTGTGACTTCATGCTTGTCCATGGGTCTGCGCAGCGCCTTCTCAATAGTCTTGCCTTGCGTCTGGAATACCTCCTCGAGTCCAATCTTATCGGGGTCGCTGATAATCTTGTACTCCATCTTGATATCATCGGTTGGCTGCAGTTGTGCCTTCTTCCGGAGGCGCTGAACGCGATTGATGATCTCTCGAGCGATTCCCTCGTGCGCGAGATCCACGTAGAGCTCGGCGTCCAGGATCGTGAGTACATCGTTGTCTGAGTTCGTCTCCAGGTTCTTGGAAGCCTCACCCTCCCTCAGACCACGCCTCACTACAAGATCGCCGTCCTCCAGACGAATTCCATCGACCAGGATCTCCTTCTTCTCCGAGTACTCTTTGACAGCATCGCTGCTGAGAGTCGGCAGCGCCTTCTTCACCCGCGCCATATCCTTCTTGAGCTTCTTACCTAGAACAGGCCAGTCCGCCGTCACGCTGTATTGAACGTTGTATCTGGCCTCGTCTGAAGAAAGAACCAGATCTCTCACGTTCATCTCTTCCTTAATGTAGGATGAGAGAGACTCCAAGTCCTTGAGGTGTTGGGGATCGCGGTGAATAACAACAAGTGTCTTCAGGGGCGTTTTCAGACCAATGGCTCTCCTCTCACGAGAGACACGGACCAAATCAATGACTCTCTGCATTCTGCCCACTCTGCGCTCGACCTCCTCGTCGAAAAGTTCCTGACGCACATCCGGGAATGGCAGAAAGTGAATGCTACGCGGGTCCTCTGCGTCCGCCTCTCCGGGAATGTACGGCCTCAGCTTTTGGTAGATGGTATCGGTGATAAAGGGTGTGAAAGGGGCAAGACCTCGGCAAAGCGTGAAAAGTACTTCAAATAGGGTGTTGAGGGCATGCTTGGTGTCTTCCACTCCACTCTCACCCTTGAGACGTCTTCTGTTGAGCTTGATGTACCAGTTGGTCGTGTTGTCAATGAGGCCAAGAAGTCGAGGGACAACGGTATACAAGCGGTACGCTACATGTAAGTCAAAGTGTCAGTGAAGTTTAACAGCTTCGGATGTATGGATTGAACATACCCTTCATCTCGTCGTTAACAAATTGGAGCAGACTCTGACAACTGGCCAAGATCCACCGGTCCATCACATTGTCATTGCTTGACTGCGTCTCTGGACTCCAGACATAGTCAACGCCCTCGACCTTCTTGAGCAAGGACACTTGCCCCTCAAAAAATTTGTAGCTGTTCCAGAGCGGCAACAACACTTTCTGCACAATCTCCTTGACCCCGGACTCCTTGAAGCGCAAGGGCTCGGCGCGGACGACTGGCGAGTTGATCAGATAAAGGCGAAGAGCATCCGATCCGTACTTGTCCATGACCAGGTCTGGTGCTGGATAGTTCTTGAGACGCTTCGACATCTTCTTGCCATCCTCAGCGAGAACGATGCCGTTGACAACGCAGTTTTGGAAGGGGATCTTTCCAAAAAGATGTGTGCCGAGAACCAGGAGAGTGTAGAACCAGCCTCTTGTCTGATCCAGGCCCTCCGCAATGAAATCACCAGGGAAGGATGCGTTGAACTTGTCGACATTCTCGAAGGGATAATGTTGGCTGGCGTAAGGCATGCTACCAGATTCGAACCAACAATCGAAGACTTCCTCCACGCGCCTCAACTGTCCCTTGCCCATTTTACTGGGGATGGTGATGTGGTCAATGTTGTCACGATGGAGATCCGACAGGTCCCCATCGTAGCCACTCAGCTCCTTCAATTCTTGCACGCTGCCAATACAGACGCGCTCCTCCATGTCGTCGCTTACCCACAAGGGAATGGGAGTGCCCCAGTACCGGTTTCTCGACACGTTCCAGTCGCGGGCGTTTTCAATCCAGCTGGCGAACCGGCGTTCCTTCACAAAAGAGGGGACCCAGTGGGATCCTTTGATGTTTTCAAGCATCTGTGGAATAATTTCTGGAATGCGAACGAACCATGAAGGTACAGCTCGGTAGATGAGAGGGGTGTCGGAACGGTAGCACATGGGATACGAGTGCTTGAGAGAAGAATCGACGACAAGTCTTCCAGTACCCTTTAAATACTTGATGATGTGTTTATCGGCCTCCTTGACATGCATTCCTGCAAAATCAGAAATTCGCGGGCCGAAGTGACCCTTGTCGTCAATAGGGTCTGGCGGCGGTCTGTTTTCAGTGATGATACCAGCAGCGAGGGCAATGTTGTAATCGTCCTCACCAAAAGCCGGGGCCTGGTGAACGATACCAGTACCGCTGTCGTCAGTAACGTATTCGGCGTTCAAGACCCTGAAGGCGACGTCCTTGTACTCTTCGTAGAAGTAGTTGAAAGGGGGCTCATACTGCCAGCCAAGCATTTCCTTGCCTCTGATCTTCTCGAGAACCTTGTACTTGGCTTTCTTGGGGTCCTTATACAAAGTATTCAAGAGCTTCTCGAGAATGATGTATTTCTTGCCGGATTTCTCGTCCTGGATTTTGATGTACTCAAATTCAGGGTGGGCAGCAAGACCAAGATGTGACGGCAGTGTCCAAGGTGTGGTTGTCCATGCCAGGAGATGAGTCTCAGAGTCATCGCGGAGAGGAAAGGAGACGACAACGGCAGGATCAGTGACATCTTGATAGTTCTGGTTGGCCTCGAAGTTGCTCAGAGCTGTGGTGAGAGCGGTAGAGTAGGGCATGACACGATGACCTTGGTAGACAGCTCCCTTATCGAATAATTGCTTGAACACCCACCACTCCGACTCCATGAAGGTGGGGTCCATGGTCTTATAGTCGTTGTCGAAATCAATCCAGCGTCCGAGTCTCTCGATGGTGTGCCGCCATTCCTGACTGTAACGCATGACGATGGATCTGCATTCAGCATTGTAGTTTTTCAGACCAAGCTTCATGACAGCGGCCTTTCCGGAAATTCCCAGCTTCTTGTCAATTTCGTGCTCAATGGGCAGGCCGTGGGTATCCCAGCCGAAGCGTCTTTCGACATGGAAGCCCTTCATTGACCAGTATCTCGGGATGATGTCTTTGATGGTGGAGGCCAACAGGTGACCGTAGTGAGGCAGACCAGTGGCAAAGGGGGGGCCATCGTAGAATGTGTAGAGAGGTTTTCCCTGGGTCAATTCGAGCTATGAAGCAGAATTGAGATGTTAGTAGGTGAAGGGAATAGTGCGGCGCTTATAGTTTTCTGGAAAGCGAGACAATGCTCAGAGATGAACAAATCAAGGCTTACCTGACGCTCAAATGCCTTGATCTCGCGCCATTTCTTGATGATCTCGACCTCTTCCTTGGGAAAGTCGATAGACATGTTGGCGGAATCGAAGCGGTGCGGCGTCGAACGCAACTAGTGCGCAGCGTGGTTGTGAGGGATGCAAACACGAGAGTTGCGCGCCAAGGATGGCCAGCGAGGGTCCGATTCGATGGCTTGTCACAAGAAAGAGAAATGAAGCCCAAGCCCTTTTCTTGTAGAAACCGTTGTGGTTGTAAGCAGGCAAGGCAGCGGCAGAGGCTCGAATGAGTCTTTGCGGGTGAGTCAAGACCGACGATTTGTCGAGGAGAGGTTGTGGCTCTCAATGCACGCTGATTTGGAGGGGTCTTTTTTGGTGGGCGATGTGAGTCAGTGGGGTAATTTTTTCCAATTGATTTCAGTCGAGCGCGGGGCAGCCAGTTTCCAAATAGGACCTTCCCCTCCTTCCCGGCCTAATTAAGGCACCTAGGTGCCTAGGTAGATACCGTCGCTGGTGGTTGGTACTTTGGGCCTGCCTGGGCCCGTAATTTTCTGTCTCCCGAGTCGAAGGGGTGTCTTACCTAAGCCTGCGCAAGGTGCCTTACATAGTAAGGTAGGGAGGTACCTAGTATACTTAGGTGCCATGTGCCCCAGCTAGCAGCCTACCTAGTGCAGATGATGCCGCACACTGCTGGCAAGGTAGCACGAGCACGGTAGGTGCCCAGATAAACGGATAGGCGCCTTCGATACCAGGTCACCAAGCAACGCCTTCTCCGGCTGGCAAGGCCTGATCATCAACATAAACAACCCAACGTCGACCTGCCGCCACGCTCATTTTCGTCAATCCCCTCCCCGCGATACTCTCCTCGACGGTTCAGAATTCCCTCGCCCCCGTGCAACCGTGTCGTTTATCCCGTTGCCAGGGAATTTCCTACAATCAACATCAACAGCCCTCTTCCGACTGGTATTCAGCTCATCTCTCCTGCAATCTTCGTCAACGACACTGAAGCGTACCTAAAAGTCCAGCCCAGTCCGCACACTCGACTCAGACCCGATAAAATACCTCAAAACCGCCCATAAAAACTGCGAATCCCGCAAAATATACTCGGTTCTCTCCATTCTCGTCCGCCATGTCCTTCCTATTTGGCAGGGCCAGAACGAGGCCGGCCGTGGACCTGCCCAAACAAGCCAGGGACCATGTGACGAAGCTGGAAGGACCAAATGGCTCTGTAAAGGTCAGCCCTCATTATAGTTGCCGCGCATCCCCTCTGGACCATCAAAGTACTGACCTATCCTCTCGTCAGGCCGAAGAGCTTGCCAGAGTCCTGAACCAGATGAAGTTCATTTTGCAAGGTACTCAAGGTTGGTCTCCATACCTCGTCTACCTTGGACCATGGCAACTAATGTCGAATCAGAGGCTGATAGCAGCCCCGAACAGATATATCAACTCGTTACTGGCTTGATTGAGGAGGATCTCCTCTACTTACTTGCCGTAAATCTCTGGCGCTTACCGTTCGAATCCCGCAAAGATACCCAGGTTATCTTCTCCTACGTCTTCCGTTTCCGCCCACCCACCGCCTCGCCTAAGAGCGACCCCCTCGCTCTGTCCTACGTTGTCAACAATCGCCCGCAAGTTTTGCTGGAACTTTGTCGAGGGTACGAGCACAAGGAGAGCGCAACGCCTGCCGGTTCCGTTCTCCGAGAAGTCCTCAAATCAGAAGCTGCCGCCGCCATAATCTTGTACGATGACAATGAAGAATCTGGATCTAGCAATAAAGGTATCAATTTGATTGACCGAGATCGCCGTCAAAGCGGCGACGGCGTCTTTTGGAGGTTTTTTGACTGGATCGACAAGAGCTCTTTCGAAGTCGCTGCGGATGCCTTCACCACGTTTAGAGTAAGGCGACCCGACCCTCTTGCTACAGCAAACCTTGAGCTGCGGGTACGATTTCTGACCTTCTGCTCTATCTTTAGGAACTTCTCACGAAACACAAGGAGCTTGTTCCGAGGTACTTGTCGGTCAACTTCGACCTCTTCTTCGACAAGTACAATAACATACTTGTACAATCCAACAGTTATGTCACCAAGCGACAGTCCATCAAATTACTCGGCGAGATCTTGCTGGACCGCTCAAACTATAGCGTTATGACCGCCTACGTTGATCGCGGAGAGCATCTGAAGATTTGCATGAACCTATTGAGAGACGACCGCAAGATGGTCCAGTATGAGGGCTTCCACGTCTTCAAGGTCTTCGTTGCCAACCCTCATAAGTCAATTGCGGTCCAGAAGATACTGCTCATGAATAGGGAAAAGCTACTCACATTCTTGTCCCACTTTCTGGAAGACCGGACCGACGATGAACAGTTCATTGATGAAAGGGAGTTCCTCATCAAGCAGATCAGGAATATGCCGCCAAGCCCAGTGCCGCCTCAGAGGCATGGCATGTCTGGCGGCACTTGACTGGTTCGAATCAGAGGAAAAGGAAAAAGCTATGCGGGAAGTGACAATCCCAATTTGAACATGTCGCTGAAAGGGGTTTCGGATATAATTGGACCGGAGGTCTCAGAAGCTCGAGCTTTCATAGCGACATCGATTGAATGTGCATTCGCGTCTGGCGTTCATGGTAGGACAGTTCCTCAAGGATCGCGTTGTCCAGCAAGCTGATCCTCAATTTCGGCATGCCGATATTGTGACCCCGGATGGATTGGAAAGTCTCCATGCCGATCGTCCTTTCCACGGCGACCTCGATCTACGTATCCTTGATGATCCATTGTTGTGCCTTTTCCTTATATTCCTCACGCCACCTGCTCAACGGAGGCCGGTCATGGACGATGTCCCCAACGCCCCAAAGCATCCTCTTACGATCCAGGTCTTCCGTCACCTCATTGTCCGGGCAAATAATGTAAAATAAGCCCAACTCCATTTTCTGTTCCAAATACTCAGCTACTTGCTCAGGACTCCAGGCGGCGGCTGGCTTTTCTCTGCCGGAGCCAGCACCGGCGAGGCCAGTGAAAGTCCAACCTGGCACGAGGAGGTGCGCTGTCGTAGCGGTGTTTCTAAGATCAAATGACAAATGTTCGGCGACGGACTTGACAGCCGCCTTGCTGGCATTATATGCCGGGTTCCCTGGTGGATTCGTGATGCCTTGCTTTGAGCCTGTAATGACCACGGCCGACTGGGAAGATTGTCCATTGCCCACCAAAGGCAAAAGGGTGTTGATGCCGTTAATAATACCGTACAGGTTTGTGTCGATGATGCGATGGAAGCTGTCTAGATCCTGCCAGCTTGATTTGCCGCCAATGCCAGCGTTGAGAACTAACAAGTCGATTCGACCTTTAAAGAGGTCAGCTCCAGTGGCATTGTCGCGCAGTGGCGTGTCTCGAAAGGGTGAGCGGTGAGTGAGAAGAAAACAACTGACCACCAAGGATGCTGTTGACTTCAATCTTCAACCTCTCCCAGTCCTGCAAGATGCTGACGTCCATCTCGAATAGTTTCACTGAGCCCCTCAGTGTGGATTTAGCCTCATCGAGAAGCCTTATATCACGGTCAACTATGATCACTGTCATTTGTCGGTCGAGACATCTTTGGGCAATTGCCAGGCCAATGCCTGAGGCGCCACCCGTAATAACTGCGGTATTCGAGGAGGCAAAGACGGACGCCATCATAAAACAATCTTTCGGCCAGCTTTCTGCTCTGTGTCTTGGGTACGCTCACAAATCAAGACGTCGGCATACACACGGAGTAGGTAGGTTTCTGGAAACGCAGAACAGGTAGATGGAATCGCACGCCCTCACCGCCACCGTCCCCATCCCGTTTGCGGGGAAGCCTACGGAGTTTAGCATCATTATCGCCGCCATCAGCCATCACAGACTGCCGAGGCACATAAACAGAGCCAATCAGCTTTACTTCACGAACAGAAAACCCTCTGTGGGCGTCAGCGTCAATAATCGGCCCCCAACAACGATGTATCGGGATTGAGGAGCTTCAAGATCCAGCTGATAGCACATTGATGAGAGCCTGACCCTTAAGACGCCTCTTTCCCCCGATCCATGCCTACTAGAAAAGAAAAAGCAAAACAGAAAACCACTCATCACCTTTAACTGATGGGTACCCACGCGGCGCAATGTTCGGCAGCATCAGCGAGAGGCCTGAGTCGGCTGCTTCGCCAGCATCACACTAACACTCTCTCGCGCGTTCGAGGAGGTCCATACACTTTCCTTTCCGCCCCGCCGCCAGTCGTCGCCGGTTGCATCTTCTCCGCCTCCTCTTGTCGCCTCCCCCATGATTACCTCCAAATCTCGTTTCTGGGAGCTGATCCAGTTTCTCACAAAGTTTGCTGGATCTTGGCTCATGGATGTGAAAAACGAGTGTTTCGCCTTCGAGCTGGCAATCGCCGAGACCAGTGTCGCCAACTGCTCATCCAAAGTAGCCACATTCTTCAGAGCACTCGCATAGGCTGGGTTAGCCACAAAAGGCACCAGCTTGGATCGAAGGGGTTCCTCAATAGCGACCCGTACGTCATAAACCGTGGGCTGAGGATCCTGATGGAACGTCTCATCCACTCGAACCGTGTACGGTAGACTAATTGGGGGAAGAGGTCGTAGGTGAGGCTGGATGTAGTCGTTCAGGTTTGGAATCATGCCCACGTCATTGCCATTGATAATCTGGGCGAGTAAGTCAGCGGAGAGAGAAGACAATAGAGGAATCAGCTGCGTTACTTTTCTTAGGAGGTCATCGCAGCGAAAGTTACGTTTCTCCTCGTCTTCTTGCAAGCCCATCATCTTGATATACTCCCACACAGCTAGAACAGCCTCTTGTCTGGACGCCTCGGTCATATCCACAACTTCAGCCAGCTCGGGGCTTAGAAGGTATCGTTCTGGGTCCTCCAAGCGATGCAAGTTGACAGTGATGTTCATGTTCTCGTCCCCACTCCTTTTGAAGGTAAACTCGTCGAAGTCTGAGACGTTCGTAGCATTCTGTGCAGACTGCCTCTTCCATTCAACAGTCTGATCGGATGCCGCTCGTGAGCGGCTTCGATCAAACTCAACGTTGAGAGCCTTAAAGAAGCGCGAGAATCGACACTTCTGCGGCGCCGGGGCTGAGCTTTGACGTCTTGAGCTGGGGGCGTCATCCTCGTCCATTCGATCTTCGTTCTGGGCAACATCCTCAACAGATTCGTCCTGGTCATCGTCAAGCAAACGAGCTTCAATCTTGACGCGATAGGAAGGCTCAGCACTTGGTGTGAAATCGAAGCTGTCGACGCTAAGTCCGCTGCCTTGCCATGCCTGGTCTTCGACGGTGTTGCTAATCCAGACTCGCAGGGTTTTATGCCGCTAGGGATCGCCAAATTTAGCAACGGAAGTGGGCAATAAAATCGCGGGTATAGACATCGAAGAAATCATCATGCAAGACGACTGACCTTTGCATTGCGACCAACAGCCTCGACGATGTCAAGGCGTTTGCGTGTCATAGTCGCATCGAGGCGGCGCTCGAAGTCGCGCAATTCCTTGTATCTCTGGGCGACCTCAGAATCTGTGATGCAGTCCTCGACGCCGTCTGGCAACGTTTTATCGGTAGGCTTTCGACTGCGACGTTTTGCTAGCTCGCTCGTAAGGGCCTGACCCGGGGCATGGTGTTGCGCTATAGTCGCCTGGTTGATGGCTGCTTGTTGGTGATGTCCTGGAGGCATGATCGGCCCTTGAGAATGCGTGTCAGCCAACTGGAGCTTGTTGCAACACGGGGGGGAGGGGGAAGGGCACGATTCGGGACGGAAGGCAGGTGGAAGTCCTTCTCGACAGAAGGAACTAAAGGAAGGGACGGGCGTACCGATGCCGCCTCTCCGTTGATTTGGGGCGGTATGTGGAGCCCGCTGGGGAACTTGCGGTGCGCCAGCATGGGCAGCATACTGACGGTATTGAGGCTGCATTTCGACAGTGAATATTTTCGACGCGCGCTGGGAGTTCAAAAACACGGTGGGAAACCCCCAACAAGAAACCCGAGTTATTGGATTCAGAAATGATGACCGTGACGATGTACCAAGCTGGGTAAGAGGTCGCGTCGTTTGTTGCTTCAGGGCGCGTGTGCAAAGGCAAATGGTTGAGCGGCACAAGCGCAGGATGAAAGTGCTGCCTATGTTGATTGGTCCATTAAAATGGGCCATGGGGCAGATCCACCCGAAGGGTTCGGCGCATTTGATTCGCAGAAATGGGAGCAGACTACCGATAGAACCTCCAATGACCTTAGCATCACAGGACATGTGAGATGATATCCCACTCTCTTCCACAATGTATGTCAAAGATCCAAAGGCGTTTCAGAGACACATTGATCTTCGAGATTCACTATAATGCCATGAAAACGTGATCAGGATCGAAAGCATACATCATCTGGACTCGCTGTCCCTTGGGGCTTGATTTGGCCTTGCTCGATGATTCCTATGAAAACCTCCTAAACTCCCTATAAGAAAACCTCCCTTGTTCATGAATGCTTCCGCCCGCGAAGGAAATCGCAAAAACCCTTATATAATAGGCCAAGTCGTCCAAGAGTGCATAGCCGACGGGACGCCACGCTACAGAATGCTTACTTCCAATCCCACTCTCATCATTAAGAAGTCTTGGGCCTCCTCTGCATGCACCTCGTTAAGGGCACCACATCTCCCTCCTGTGAAGGCCCTCATCATACCCTCAGGCATCAAAATTGTGCCCCTAGCCCATTTTTAGATTGCCGCTTGCTGAATCGGTTTCGTTTGGTCGAAGAAGAGTCTTCCAAGCTCGCTTGACTTTTGCTCAGATGGTTTCGGCCGGATCGGTCGCTGACGCTGAAGCTATCGGGGTATGCTCCTCGTCCACCCAGCGTACTTGCCGGACTCGATACTGCTGACGACATGTCCGCAAAACCATTGTCACCAGCATAGCTACCAACAAGGTTTTGAGAAACCGCCAACTCCCTGGCTCTTTCCAATGACTCGATCCAGTCCTCGGCTGTAGAACCATTGTCGGGGGAGCTGGTGCTGCCCTTCGGCTCCTCAAACGTGTAATGGACGCCGCCCTGTCGAAATTTAGATGAGCGGCGATACTTTTTGCCTAGAATACTTACCGCATCGACGCACCAAACTGTTTGCCCTTTGACGTCAAGTTGGGTTCTCCATGAGCTTTCGGGCGACAAGAGCGATATCTCCTGCTTTGCACGCTTCTCGTCCCCGCCAGCCGGAGCCAGCAGTATTCGACCACTTGATGTGACCATGACCAATCTTTGTCTCTTCTTCGTTGTGCTGCCGCCGAAAAACCTCGACAGCTTCTTGTGTCCATCATGCTCACCTCCTTTGCCATGACCCCCATTGGGCAGTGGGCTTGACACGACCATCAAGTCGCCCAACTTGAGAATTCTCTCATTATTCCGTGTCAAGATAGGGGACCATTCGATATCCAGCTGAGTTGGAGGAGGTAGCTCGGTTATGATCCTGGCTGGACGACAACCACCATTCGCAGTAGAGCTTTGAGCCGGCGGCTGTGATGTTTTAGGAGGGGCAACAGGATTCGGACTGCCGGCCGTACCATTAAGCTGAATCAAATTCGGTTCCTGTGGCGCGGGGTTATAAGGTCGCAGTCGCGGAGCTTTGGTTCTCCACAGTCCCTTGCCGAACTGTTGCCCGTCAAAGAATTCGTGGTTCTTGATATGCTCCACTGTAAGACGCCGGGCTGGGTCAAGCACCAAGCACCTTTCCACCAAGTCCCGTGCTGCCGGGGGAAATCCACTGGGGAAATCGTACTCGAGATTAACAATCTTCTGGAATGTGAGGTATTCCGTGCCCGCCTTGAACGGTGGCCTGCCGGCCAGCAGCTGGTATACTATGCATCCGAAAGCCCAGAGATCGCTTGCCTTGCAAGCATTTTTGCTCGTCAAAAGTTCAGGGCTCACATACTCGGCGGTTCCTACGAACGATGCTGCCCGGCCATCATCCTCGATGTCGCCACGGCTGCTTTCAGAAAGACCCCTTGCTCCCTCACCTGCGATCTGTGACTCTCTGGGATCCTTTAGCAGTTTGGCTGTCCCAAAATCGGTGATCTTGACATGCATGTGGTCATCCAAGAGAACGTTTTCGGGCTTCAAGTCTCGGTGAATAACCCCTCTTGAGTGCATGTAGTCAATTGCATCCAATATCTGCGCACCGTAAAAACGTGTGCACTCCACATCGAATGTGCCCGTCTTTTTGAGAACACCGAGGAGCTCGCCACCGTTGCAGAGATCGAGGACATAGTACAGTGATGCTTCGTCTTGAAATGTGTAGTAAAGGCGCACAATGCCTGGGTGTTCCGTGAGGCGGTTCAGGGTGTTCTTCTCGATGTTGACATACTTGATCTTCTTTTCCTTGATGATATGCTTCTTTTCCAGAACTTTGATGGCATACTCTTTGAGCGTCTGTCGATCAGTGGCTAAATAGACCGTACTGTACGAGCCTTCGCCGAGCACTCGACCAAAACTGAAGTCCCTAACTCCTTTTTTGACGTGTCGAATGACTGTCTTCCCATTCGCGTCCGTCTCTCTCCTGACGCCAATGGCAGCACCGCGGTCTTTCCATTCCTCGCTGCTGGTAGGGAGTGGCATGTCGGGGCCGTACGGATCTCGTGAAGGCTGAGAAGCTGTAGTCGCTGAGACGTATCCACCCCCCATGCCTTTGGAGCTCCTCCTCGGCGGCAGTGGTCCAGAACCAGGAGGCAGTTGAGATTGGCGAGGGTTTGTAGACCTGTGGCTTGGCTCTCTTGTAGGTATTGATGATGGGTAGCCAGGGCCGTTACCAGAATCCTGTCTTGCTAGAAGGCCATACACGGAAGATCGTGATCGTTCGTTCTGTGACGCAGTTTGGTGCTGCAACAAGCGTCCATCCTCAGACGCGGTGGGAGGATGCGCGTACATGCCGGACATTGGGCGGCCAGTTGGGGATGCCGAGCTGCCTGGGGCTCTCTCGGGGTCTGGGTATGACGATACAGGTTGACGGTAGACTTCAGCTCGCATGGCAGCGCTAGGGCTCGTTCGGTGCGATTCGGCGTGTGCGGGCATAGCATCCGGGGCAGCGCCGAGTTGTTCGGGAGACTGAATGTGGGATACGGGGGACAGAAGGCTATCTGAGATCGGGATCGAAGCATGCGAGGCGATGGGTTGTTGTTGCGTGCCATGCCGGGCAGTGGAGGGTGCTGAATGAGCATCGGGTTGGTCAACGGTTGGAGACAGGGCGCCTCCATCTGACAGGTTGTTCGGAGACGAATCGTCTGGATTGGCTATTCGTAATCCTCCGAGGGCCCTCGACAGACTGAGGTCCCCATTCATGGTTCGTGTGTGTGTGTGTGTGTGGGCAGACGGCGGGAAGGGAGGGTGTCAGGAATGGGAAAGGAGAGGATGGGCGGAGGCAGTATAGGTAGAGAAAGGATGAAGGAGAAAGCAGGAGTAACGAATGGCTCCGCCGATTGCTTCGTGCAATGGCCGAGATGAAGTCAGGTTTGGAAGGTACGCGGTGCGGCACGATTAAACGGGATAGGAGAGAAGTGGTCGTTGGTCGTTGGTCGGGAGGGCAATCGACCACATCTGATTCGGGTCTGTTCTGCGGTCGGTCGGTCGGTCGGTCGGTCGGTCGGTCGTGTCAGACAATTAGAACGCCGCCAGGAAGGTAGGTAGGTAGGTACTATGCCTGAGGTATGTTTAAGTGGTTCGCAAGGCAAGGTAAGGTAGGCACCTCCCAAGAGCACCTGACCTTCCATTGCCTTACTACCTAGGTAGGTTGGGTAAGGAAGGTAAGGTACCTACAGGCACCTCACCTTAGACGACCCGCGCGTGGTGCCTGCCCGTCGGAAAACAGGTACCCAGGCACCTAACCTGTCCCGTCGGAAGTGACCTGGGTTGCTGGGAGAAGAAGCCCCCCAAATGTGTGCACTGGCGCAAGCCCAGGACAAGCAAGGCAAAGCAGGCAGGGCAATGTGGAAGAACCCATGAGCACTTCGCCCAGCATACGGATACAGTACTTCGTTTCAATCCCAACCATTGAGGGCCAGGTCAAGATGCCACCAACATGACAAACTTCTAGTTTGTAAGATGACAACCAGCAACGAATAAGAGAAGGGGATTTGGTTCCTTGCGTCATCCAACGTGGGCGAAGCTAACCTGGAAGAAATCGAACAGCAGTGCGTAAGGGAAGGCGCAGTGAATACGTGCGATCTCCCCGCAATAGAGAGCCTTGTGCTTTCTTCACGAGCAGCATGAGCCTTCTCGCCCAGGACACCGCACTCATGTGCAACACTTGCTTTCCAAGGTTGACCGCTCAAATGTGTACAAAACAAGCACACCATTTCGTCATCACCTACGCCGAAATGTTGCGCCTCGAACCAACTGTCATCCGCCTGACGCTATGCGAGGTGAACGATCTGCACCGGCGATCGAAAGCCCAGCAGCAGCTTCATCCTCTAGCTAGACATGATCTAGGAGCCCTTTCTGTGCCACTACGGCAACCTCAATATTCAACCCCGTACTCTAACTGCATGGATTTGCCTAGATTGTTATATTCATCGATTCCGACTGGAACAGCTTCGCCAGAAGTTCTGGTAGAAGACACTAGCGACGACATAGACGGCGCAAACGGCCAAGGCTTTGATCCTCTGTCAAGGACTGAGGGCGTCGAGAGCAGCCCTCGCAGTGGTTGGCATTCCAACATGGCAAGCGCTTGCGACGGGCCATCGAACTCGTTGAACACGATGCCTCGACCGTCTGTGCCATTTCCTTCAATGGATCAAGCTTCGTCATCTCTTGTACAATCCATGAGTGTCTGATCACCATTGTAATGCTCGACTTCTAAGTGAGGCTGACACTATCAGCAGCAACCGCAACCTGCGGCCTTACGCGGGGTCGGCCCTAGGGAGCCAAGTCGTGTCTACGCTTCACATTCATCTCCAGTCACAATGCGCATGGGCTTTGGGGGGCATAGAGACGTTCATGGAAGCCCTAGGCTCATTGTATATAACGATTCGGTCACTGCGATGATCCAGTCCCAGGCTCGTCACCTTCCGGAAGCTCGGCACCAGAGTCGGCTGCATGAATCATATACGGCACCAAGCGGAAGATATTTGTTCCAGGGGCCAGCTACTACCGCGCTGGGTCGCCATCGACGTCGTGCGAGGGCGGCCAGTCCATTCGACACGGGCATTCCAGGACTTGTTAGGCTTTACGGCGGTATGGAGAACCCTGGGGAACTGGCACCGTATGATGCCGCAACGCGCCGGCACTGGGCAGGACAACGCAGAGGGTGAATCAACAGACGTGCTGACCTGTCTCTGGCTTGGCGGGTGATTGCACATGCCCATATCGTGCTCGACTACGGTTTGGGAGCATTATATTGTCGGTAGCGGGAAGGTGACGAATGGGGAGTCCCACGCGGTGACCCTGATAGAAGAAGACTGCCGACTCAGTCTATCAGGCTCATTAATACAAGAGTAGTTGACTAGAGTGTATACGTCGATTTGCTAGAAGAGAGTGTACATTTCTGGAAGGGTGATTCCGATACTTTGATTTTCCAACAGGTGTGGCTCAAGAGCCGGTAGTAGAGTGGGTGTGCGGCAACGGAATCGGATTGTTGGTAGCCTGAGCGACAACCAGTTGACTCTGACGGCACGGGGGATTCTCCCGCTTTCCGGACGCCCGTCAAGTGATCAGGATCACGTGACAGCTGTGAGCATTGTGAAGTGCTTCTGGCAACTGGTGCCTGAGGCAACAAGGTGCAAGGAGAAGAGTCAGTACACTGCGTAGGCTTTGGGAGGTGATCGCGTGCAGGTTGTGTGCCTAGACAGTACCGAGGACCTATGTATACATAAGATGTGCATTCATGTACTGATAACGCGGTAGAGGGTTGCATAATTGTTATCCAGACGTCATCCGCCCTAAAGTCAGCAAGCCCGCTTCTTCATCGTCCGCACCGCAACAGATACCAGTATGCCGATTTGCTCGTATGATCTGACTAGCTATTCGCGACCGGGTTGTTTGCTCTGCGGGTGTGGGTTTTGCATTTGGGCGTAATGCAGTTAATTCCCCAGTTATCCAGGTCGCCGGCCAGCAAATGGCCGGCCAGTATCCGTACTGGACAAGGCACGACACGACGGCTGCAGCTGTAGCAACTGCGGTCACCAGCCTGCCCGATTTGGCAAAGGCCCAAAGGTAGAAATCAACATGGACCCGAGCGCAACATAAGGAGCCACAGCAAGAGGCCGTACTGTGGTACATACGCGGTACGTACACGTCCAGTGGACTGCAAGGTGGAAGCTCATTCGCGGCGAATATGTACCTACCTTCAGGACAGCCCAGATATCGCAGGTTACAACGCTGACAGGCGCTAGCATACAGAAGGAGAGAGAACATCGGATGATGGTCTCGCTACCGCAGTATGCTAGTAGTCCTGGTGACACACAAGGTAGTCATTCAGCAGGGACAAGTTCACACGGGGTCCCGGAGATGGTTTCTGCTGCGAGTGGCAGCGATCCGCAACCAAGAATCCTTGCGTCTCAAGTCGTGGCAAGCAATACGTACCTACCCCACTCCGCTGTGGCTCGCCTTCTCACAAGAGCGAGGACTCTCTCCTCCGTGTCTCTCCGCAGCGGCTGCGCCAGCGCCAACGCGAGAGCTGCGACAATGCGACTCGCGACGGGGAGCTGGGGTGTAAAGACTCTCAAGGCGACGTTCCCTTGTCTACCGCACTCCAACCTTTTTTTTCGCCGGCCCTGTTCAGTCTCTGTTCGTCTTGTCCTGCCTACGCGTTTCCTTTCCGTCTGTCAATTGGCCTGGCCATACTACAAAATACAAAAGGATAGCTCTGTCTACACCTACCACCTTAAACCTTCGGCTCTACCTCAACCTCTACCTTTCACCCCTTTCCCAGCCACTGCAAGTTCATCCACCCATCTGGTGTTGAGTCTCGTCTCGTCTCCCATCGTCTCTTTCTGACAGCCTCGCTCTTGCAACCTAAGTTCTTCCCTCTCTACTCACTGATGTACCCCATACGCTAGCTTGGTCAACCCTGCTTTAGCTGCTACCGTCATCGAGCCCATCACCAAACGGCCATTCTATTCTGCCTTACACTATCACCGTCAGGTTGCTGCCGTCTTTTCAAACCACCTCTTACCACCAACCTACCATTGCGAGCTGCTACTTATCGCTCCGATCTCGAACGGTCCTGTCTCATCTCGGCCTTCTCTCGCCTCGGACTCCTTCGACCATCCGCCAAGTACCTTGTGGCCCTGCACCACAGCACCATATCATTCACGCCCATCCGCTATCGCCGCCAGCTGCAACCCATTTCTGGGGTGTCATCTTGCAACTACTAACCTGTCTTGATGCGTAGAAGAGCTATCTAAAACAGACAATCGAACTTACCTTCCACAGGTCTAACAAAGTAGCAATGTCATCTTTCGGCCGATCCTTCTCAACTGCCTCGCCAGTCATGGCCCTACCACCGCAGCCCGCCCATCGAGCCAGCTTCAGCATGGAGTCTTACGCTTCCCCGGCAGCCTCTTTCGATCAATCTGTCGCCTTACAACGCTGCGCTCACCCGGCGGCAGTACCCTCCGGAAACCTCAAGGTCGCAGGTCGCAAACGCTCTCGCGATGAGGCCGCCCCCAACCTTATTACAGACGAGCCCGAGCCTCACGCCGAACACAAAGAGGCTGAGGATGAGTGGGAGTACGGCCCAGGCATGGTGCTCATCAAGAAGGGAAGCTACGTCGCCGACGCAAGCAGTCAGTCAGGCACCTGGGTCGAAGAGAGGGCGGCGGAAGACGAGGCTCGTAAGGCCAGGGAAGCCATCACGCGTCTGCACGAACAACAACAGCGCCCTTCTCTGCGAAGCAATAAATCTCAACGACTCACGCAGAACAACGTGCATGGTTTCGGCGCGGCCAGCCAACCAGTTCCTGCATCAACAGCAGGATCTCTTCCCTTGCAACAAGCTTCTCAGCCCATAGTCGACCACTTTACCTTGCATCTCGGCGTTGGCTGGAGACGCATCAGCGAAGATCAGCACATCCAGGCTGCTGCTCGTGGATGGGCCCGTTACATTGAGAACCATTACCCAGTCTCGTCGGCTGTCATTCGACTCGAAAGCAAAGGGCTACAATCATATCTAGTGGAAGCCGTCGAGGGTTTTTTTCTCTTTTCCGAGGATCTTCGACAAGGTCGGTTTGTCAGTGCAGACGCCGAGGGTGCACTAAGAAACTTGAAGTGCTCACCTCCCGCATTCGACGGCCCAGAGACTCTCGCGGCGACTGAGTCCCCAGCTAGCGAATCACCCTCCACCA